CCTTCATTTGTATCCATTTGCTTAGCTACCTTGAAATGTTTGAAATTCTAAAGTTGTTTTAAAGTGGTAAAAAGCAAATGAGTGCTAATAAATCTTATTTTGGCAGTTTGCATACACAAAAAAATCCAAGAAAAGTGAAGTCATTTCAGGAAATGAACTTTACATATTCTTGAGTGAAATGACTTGTGTCTGTTCTCATTAACAATGGAGATGGTATTTTTCTAACTTTTTCACCATCTTTTGAGAAAACTAAGTAATAAATCAAGAAATTCCAGTGCAGATGAAAATTATGTGGAAATAGACCAAAATGGGGAAATTATGGTATCAATTACTCATGGGGTCAATTAAATGTAATAGATGTAAAAATTGCAGTCATATACTTTTATAAACTAGTATATGCTGTAAAGTATTCATTCGGTGACTATCTAGGAAATGCCGGCTAAGGCTAGGAACTCTTTTTATTATTTTTCCATAGCCTTAGCTTTGTAACTAAAGCCAATTGATGAATAAGCACAAGTGACTAAAACAAGGACTTCAAAGATATTTCTTTCTGTCTGTACTAATATTCCTTTGAATCACAAAATGCTGTCTACTGGTCATCAGATTTTATGAGCAGAGGCAGTGCCATGAATTGGTAAGAACATTAGACCAGGTATAAAAGGACATGGGTTCTATTTCTCATGTGTTACTAATTAGCTGGACAACCTTGAGCAAGTCATACCCACTCCTCTAGCTTGTGTTTTGTTCTCTCTGTGAAATGATCAGATTGGTTAAAATGCCCTCGTAGACCCATTCTGGAGCTAAATGATCATAAACATTTAAGGTAAAAATATTTTTTGAAAGTTCTTTAAGATTGCAGTGATGACTGAAAAGTTCAGAGGAAAGTGCTCTTTGGTTCATGGTGCCAAAGAATCTTTTAAATCAGCATCTATTTATATATACCCCTACATAAATAAAATTGAAAGTAAAAATATGAATGTATGTATTATTCAAAAGTTCATTCTATGCAGAAATTAAGATCTATGCTCAAGTCAATAAATATATTCAAGACGAATACTGCATTTCAAAGGACAGAATTTCTTAATAAATAACACTGTCCAACACCATATTCTTTCTGTGAATACAAATTAAGGAATGACACTGTCCAATGCCTTATTGTCTCTCTAAACACAAATTAATGAGTTGGCCTTACCATTTGAATTTGGATTCAGAACATAGCTTTCTGGGCGATCCCTTATGTACCAGGCTCTGCATGTTTATTGCACACCATTTGCTGCAATGCATTCTACACTTGGGGAATTTAGAAATGGATTTTAATCAGACAAATTGGTGCACTTCTGCCTACAGAAAATGAAAAGATCTGTACAGTACTCTGTATAGTGTTGTTGGTTGCTTATGATTATTTAGCCTGATCAAGGACACAGGAGAGCAAAATGTTGGGCAAATTTCATTCTATTCATGGCACCACCACATGTTGCAGCCTGCTCTTCTGGAAGCTCTGGGTTAAGACACGAATTCCCAAGATGTGGGACATGTATCTGTCTCTCATGGAACTTGAATTGATATAAGTGTGTAGGGTCCAAAAATCAGATCATAAGAAAGTGTGTTTTTTTTTAAATTTCTTTCTCAAATATTATTTTTCCCAGGAAAAAAAAGATTCTGGTGCTCATGTGCTTCTGACACATCTTTTAATTACAAATCTCATTTGTTACTGAGAAAGAGTCAACCGCTGGGGTCAAAACCTTCTGCAAACAAACATCATGGACATGATTTAATAACATTGATTTGTTCCCTATTTTTACAGTAATCTATTTATGCAAAGTTATGGTACCAACATAAACTTATCTTTTGAAATAAATTTATTTATACCCAAAGGTATGTTGAGATTAAAAAAACTTTTTATGTAAATAAAATAATAGCACGTCACTGTCAGAATGTTCTAAAATGATATGCAAATGAATGAAGCTTGGGCAACTTGGGCTAGTGGAAAGTACACTGAGTGGCAGATAGGAAACTTGGTTGCTAAATCTGCTTCTAACTTTGTCACTAATTATTGGATTGTCCTGGGAAATAATGATGAATCTCTCATGCTTCTATTTCCTCATAGCCCAATTAATATAATGATAGTTGCCCAGCTACCGTTGGAGTAACAATGTGAAGATTAAAAATAAATGCTGGGTAGTGAAATTTGTAAGTTGTATGTGCATGTGGTTCATTATTATGTATCTGAAACACCACTTTTAAAAATATATATATTTTTATTGATTTCAGAGAGGAAGGGAGAGGGAAAGAGAGAAATATCAACGATGGGAGAGAATTGATCGGCTGCCTCCTGCATGCCCCCTACTGAGAATTGAGCCAGCAATCTGGGCATGTGCCTTGACTGGATTCCATCAAACCTTGGACTCTTTAGTCCCCAGGCTGATGCTCTATCCACTGAGCAAAACAGGCTAGGACAGTGGTCGGCAAACTCATTAGTCAACAGAGCCAAATATCAACAGTAAAACGATTGAAATTTCTTTTGAGAGCCAAATTTTTTTAACTTAAACTATCTAGGAAGGTACATGGTTATTAACTTAATTAGGGTACTCCTAAGGCTCGTGAGCCGCAGTTTGCAGACCATGGGGCTAGGACTAAAACACCACTTCTTCTTTTCTTTTTGGGGCTAGGACTAAAACACCACTTCTTCTTTTCTTTTTTTCTTTTTTCTTTTTTTTTCACCATCCCAGCAAAAAATAGGAGGGAAGGATAATATTATCTCTGTTTTCTTTCTATGATCATACCACTTAGTGTGTGTGTGTGTGTGTGTGTGTGTGTGTGTGTAGAGAGAGAGAGAGAGAGAGATTATAGTTGTATATTGTCTACAGTTATACTATTGCTAAATACTGAAGTTGTACTGTCTTTTTCTGATTGATTATATGTTTATTTTTACTATTTTCCGTGGTGATAAATAAATATTTGAAAACTAACCTATGTTTAAAAATGAACCTATGCCCAGCTGGTGTGGTTCAGTTGTTGACTTATGAACCAGGAGGTTACAGTTAGGACTGTGGGCCTGATCGCTCTTGAGGGACGTGGAGGAGACAGTCGATCCATGATTCTCTCTCATCATTGATGTTTCTCTCTCTCTCTCCCTCTCCCTTCCTCTCTGAAGTCAATAAAAATATATTTTAAAATAAATAAAATTAAAAGATGAACCTAATAATAGATCTTATTAATATTAAAGCTTACTAAAAATATTATGGCCTATCTGAATATTTAGAGCTGTTTTAAAAATAGTGGATTTTAGTTTCATACCAGAATTGTTACTTGACCTTAAATAATATTTGGAGTTTTGCTTATTGTGTTTTTCCCTTGTGCTTAAAATGTCAAATTTTATACAATATCAAATTTTCTGCAACTTATGATACCAAGTCTTAACAAAAGATATTTTACTGTTATGTAATGTCATTTCCTATAGACTTCAGGATTTCTCTTTTATTATTTAATCTCACTTATTCTTGAAGTTAAGGTTGTTGTTTTAGTTAAAATATAATGGTTCGATGAAATAACATGTATTTTAATGTTAATAACTAATTATGTCAGGTTATTTTGAGACATACATACAACTAAGTTCCAATTTATTAATGCATTATGTGAAAGAGAACATTCATGTACATAGAAATAATGCTAATAGTTGTTTGGTTTCCCATTCTATTAAGCAAAACTTATTTAAGCACTATTTTTGCTGGATTCGAAAGTGATGGGCATCACAATTTATTTGCATATAAATATTCATGGATGGTCTAGGGCAGCGATTCCCAAACTTGAGTAGTCATCACAATCACCTGAAAGACTTTTCAAAGCGCAGACTACTTGGCTCAGCCTCAAGTTTCTGATTTAGTAGTTCTGGGTGGGGCCTGAGATTTTGCACTTTTGGCAATTCCTGCATTGATGCTGAAGCTGATAATGCTATTCTGTGACCATGCATTTTTCCTCATTGGTCTGGTGCAAGGCAGTATAGCAGGCCAGTGAAGCTCAAGAACTTTAGCAATACCCCCAGATTTTAGCCCTGGCTTTCTTACTTACTAGCTTTGTAACTTGGACAAGGTAGGGATCAGTTTTGTCATACTAACAATTGCCTGGCCGGTGTTGCTCAGTGGTTGGGCGTTGACCTATGAAAGAGGAGGTCACGATTTGATTCCCCCATCAAATCCCCAGTGTGGGGCATGCACGAGGAGGCCAATCAATGATCCTCTCTCACCATTGATGCTTCTCTCTCTCCCTTCCTCTCTGAAATAAATGAAAATGTATTTTTTAAATAGTAACAATTATATATATGGAGAGAGAGAGAGAGAGAGAGAGAGAGAATATTGAATGAAACAATGCATATTAAGAGTTTAAAACAATGCCTAAAATATTATTAGCACTTGGTAAATGCAACTAAAAGTGATGGTAATTAGAGTGGTAACAGTAAAAGTAATAGTTAATAGTAATAAAAAAGAATTTACTTATTTACCTTAGTTCAATTGCAATAAAAGTTCATTAGTCTTTTTTAAGGAAGGCTGGACAGAAAGGTTGCTTTTCATTGATGATATTGTTTCTATAACAGCGGTTCTCAACCTGTGGGTCGTGATCCCTTTGGGGGTTGAACGACCCTTTCACAGGGGTCGCCTAAATACATCCTGCATATCAGATATTTACATTATGATTCATAACAGTAGCAAAATTACAGTTATGAAGTAGCAACGAAAATAATTTTATGGTTGGGGGTCACCACAACATGAGGAACTGTATTAAAGGGTTGCGGCATTAGTAAGGTTGAGAACCACTGTTCTATAGGAAACATTCTGGCAAGAAGGGAATTCAGTGAAGAAAAGCAATTAATTCCCTTAGTGAAAGAAATTTCAAGACCATGCTGAAGTAGAGTCCAGTTTACCGTTTAATCAAAACTTTATCCATTTGTGCAGTAATTTTCTCAATATTTAAAACTTACTGCATTTGTTTCTTTCCTTCCTTAGCAACAAGAGCAAGACCCAACAAACCTATACATCTCAAATCTCCCCATTTCCATGGATGAGCAGGAACTTGAGAATATGCTGAAACCCTTTGGACATGTCATTTCTACAAGAATACTAAGAGATGCTAACGGGGTCAGCCGAGGAGTTGGCTTTGCCAGGTAAAACACTTGCTTTGTATATTATTTATCTTTCCTTCTCATTTCCTCTTAATTCCAGAGCCTTTCTAGCACTAGGGCCCAAAGCAATATAAATTTTAAAAGCAGTTTATCAAACTCATTCTATGTATTTTTGCTTCAAGACAGAGAATCTCAGTGTAATTATAAATAGGTTGTGCTTTCTAAAATATGTACATCGAATGTTTATATGTGTCTGGAGTCATAATGTATGCATACTGAGTTCCCAAGCATCTCTATGGCTAAAGATCAACAAAATCAGATGCTGCCAATTTCTGTTGGGGATAATAAATGCCCAGTACCCCAAAGCTAAAGAGCCATGTGGTGAACGAAGCATCCAGATGGTTTTGCATTGATTTCCAAAGAATGAGATGATAGCATTTCTCAGTCAGCAGAAGAAAGAAGAGAAGAAAGATACAGAGAAGCAGGACTTGTTGGGAAGTCAAGGAACACAAAACTGTCAGAGGAGGTCAAGAGGGCATTTGCACTTCAGAGGCCCTGGCTGTGTGTTTTTTGATGTTTTACACAGAAACAAAAAAGCAGATTGCACTTTTGTCATTGTCATAAAAGGAAGACTAGTTTTTACTTAACTTTAAGGGAATGTTTTTAGAAGAGAGTCTTAGCCAGGAACAGAATTAAGATGGTTGTACCTGCTGTGCTTTCATGAAAAACAAAGCTAAAGAAACCACAGAGAAGAAAGAACTGCTCAACCACACACAAGAAAAGGAAAAGCTGTGTCTCCAGGGCTTGGTGTGTGCATGTCTCCGGCTGACTTCACATGGATGAATGGATGGATGTTAGTGTCATCTGAAAGTCAGTCCATTGTAGACAGGAGTGTCCACTATGATAAACCCTGTCATCACTTGGCCAACCATTCCAAATCAACCCCTGTTAACCCACTTTGAAAGACAGCACATGGTAGGGTGTTTTTTTTTTTAAATCTTTATTGTTGAAAGTATTACAGATGTCCCCATTTTTTTTCCATTGACCCCTGCCACCCCTCACACACCCAGGGCTTCACCACACTATTGTCTGTGTCCATGGGCTATGATTATATGCATACAAGTTCCCCAGTTAATGCCCCCCTACCCTTGTTGGCACCTCTCTGATGATTAGTGACATTGAACATTTTTTTCATACATCTGTTGGTAATGTCTACTCAAGTCCTTTGTCTATTTTTTAATTGGATGGTTTCTGTTCCGAGTGTTGAATTATATGAGTTCTTTTTATATTTTGGAAATTAACCCCTTATCAGATGTATCATTAGCAAATATGGTCTCCCATACAGTGGGTTCCCATTTCTTTTTCTTTTTGTAATATGTTTTAGAAGGGAGAGAGAGAGAGAGAGAGAGAGAGAGAGAGAGAGAGAGAGAGAAACATCAATGATGACGGATAATCATCGATTGGCTGCCTCATATACAACCCCTACTGGGGATCTATTATGCAATCCAGGCATGTGCCCTGACTGGGAATCGAACCGTGACCTCTCAGTTCATGGGTCAATGCTCAACCACTGAGCCACACTGGCCAGGCAGTGGGTTCCCTTTTCATTTTGCTGATGGTTTCCTTTGCTGTGCAGAAGCTTTTTAGTTTGATGTAGTCCCATTTGTTTATTTTTTCCTTTGCTTCTCTTGTCCTAGGAGATGTATTGATGAAAATACTGCTATGTGAGATATCTGAGATTTTACTGCCTAGGTTTCTTCTAGGATTTTTATGATTTTGCAAGTTATATTTAAGTCTTTTATCCATCTTGATTTTATTTTTGTGTATAGTGTAAGTTGGTGGTCTCGTTTCATTTATTTACACGTACCTGGCCAGTTTTCCAAGCACCATTCATTGAAGAGACTATCTCTATTCCATTGTATGCTCTTGCCTCCTTTATCAAATATTAGTTGACCATAATGGTATGGGTTAATTTCTGCGTTCTCTGTTCTTTCCATTAGTTTATATATGTTTCTTATGCCAATATCAGGCAGTTTTGATTGTAATGATTTTGTAGTATAGTTTGTTTTCTGGTATTATGATCCCTCCAACTTTGTTCATCTTTCTCAATATTGCCAAGGCTATTCAGGGTCTTTTTTGGTTCCATATAAATTTTTAGAATATTTGTTCTAAATCTGTGAAATATGCCATTGGTATTTTAATAGGAATTGCATTGAATCTATAGATTGCTTTGGGTAGTATGGACAAATATCACATGATCTCACATACATGTGGAATCTAATGAACTAAATAAACTGACAAACAAAATACATCCAGAAGCATGAATGCATGGAACAGACTGACAGATCTCAGGAGGGAGGGCTGTGGGGGGACAGGAAAAGATTAATCAAAGGACATATATACTTATATGCATAGCCCATGGACACATACAATAGTGTGGTGAAGGCCTGGGGTGGGATGGGGGCCGGGTGGAGACGAGCAAAATGGGAGACATTTGTAATACTGTCAATAATATATATATTTTTAAAGAAAGATAGCAGCCTGGCCAGCATGGCTCAGTGGTTGAGGATTGACCTATGAACCAGGAGGTCACGGTTTGATTCCAGGTCGAGGCGCATGCCCGGGTTGCAGGTTCAATCCCCAATGTGGGCATGCAGGAGGCAACCAATCAATGATTCTCTCTCCTCATTGATGTTTCTGTCTCTCTCTCTCCCTATCCCTTCTCTCCGAAATCAATAAAAATTAAAAAAAAAGAAAGATAGCAAATTGTAAATGTAAATGTTAATTGATTTCTGTCTTGACTTCCCAGAGGTCATGGACCATGCCTTTAAATTCTTTATATTCCTCACAGTGTTCTGCACATAGTAGACCAGTAGATGTATGCAAGGTACATGTTTGATGATTTTGAAGAGAATTGGGCAAAATGAGGAAAGTCTCCCTGACGTGAATGTATGCATGAAACATTTCAGTTTTCAGAACACTGTTAACTGATGGTTTTCATGGTCAAAGCAGAAGTGGTGTGATTAGCTCTGCTTTGCCAATGTAGTCATTCTTGGATAGTGCACGACCTGCAGTTGGAAGTCTGACCAGTGTGGGAGTTCACTGTAATCACTGTTATGCTTCACACAGCAAGCACATTCCTTTGGTTCACCCCCACCTCTCACACCCCAAAAAACTCTATTTAGAAAATTAATTTCTCCTTCATTTGTACTCCTGCTGAGAAATGAACATCTTTCAAATCAGCAGAACATACTTTCTAAGAATATCTATGGTTATTTTTTTTTAACAAAGGATTTTTTTTTTGCACTAAGTATATTAGTTTGTTAGGGCTGCCAGGACAAAATACAAACAGACTGGGTGGCTTAAACAAAATAAATACATTTTCTCACAATTCTAGAGGCTAGAAATCCAAGATAATGATGTCAGCAGGTCTGGTTTCTCCTCCTTGTTTTATAGTTGGCCTTCTTCTCCCTGTGTCTTCAGCTGGCCTTCCGTTTGCTTTGAGTCCTAATCTCCTCTTAAGTAGAGATTGGGTTAGGACCCACCCATCTGACCTCATATTAATTTAAGGACTCCTTTAAAGGCCCTGTCTCTAAATGCAGTCACGTCCTGTAAAGGGTGAGGATTTCATCCTGTGAATTTGAGCATGGGACACAATTTAGCTCATGACATAAAGATTGGGCTGTTCATTTCTCTCATCTGTATCTTCTCTGCTCATGTTGAGCCTGCTTAAAACGAAGAATATTTTCCTTATGTGCAGAACTGAGCGATGCACACTGTAAGTGGTAAAATTATAATCACAGTATGTGTTGTCATGAAATGGTAAAATCTGTAATTTTTTTTTCTTTTTTAGAAACTGAATAAGGATGGGAACTTTAAATTATTTATCTTCTCAGAATGTATCCTCTCAGTTTTTATGTGCATTTTGAATTTAGATGCCATGAGAGATTCTTTAAAAATGCAAATCTGATCATGTCAGAGGCCTGCTGACTTCCTTTCCACATGGCCTGAGTAACTGGATTCAGACCTCAGACATCATTATCCCTGACATCATTATCTCTGACATGGCTCATCTTCCTAGCCTGTCTTCCTGCCTCCCTTCCTAGACATAAGTTGCCCTTCTCCACTATTATATGTGACTCTTCCTCTAGTTTCTGCCTACTCACCCTTCAAATACAGGCTTAAATGTCTTTAAAGAAAACTTCACTGACTTCCAGCTCTAGCCTACAGACAAAGTTAGGTTCTCATGTTATAGTTCTTGTCAAAGTTGTGTCTTCTTGTTGTCTTTTTAAAAATAAATTTATCACAATCATAATGAATTCACTAGTTTATTCCTTCACTCACTGGATTGTACATTTACTGAAGTCAAATTTTCTTTTTTATTGTTGGATGGATAGATGGGTGAATGGTAGATTGCATAATTACCTTTCTGTGAAGGTTTTGAATGACTAAATTCCAAGCAATGATTTTTAAAACTTTGAGCTCTAAATATGAATTATTGGTCGCATTTCAATACTGAAACTTAGGTCTCTGTACTCTAAGTCGTGCATTTTCCAGTTTCGGAAAGTGGCATGTGGATTGAAAAGGAAATCTTAGGTTCAAAGCAAGCCCATGATTTCTCATGTCTAAGAAATCTCAAGAAAATCTGGCTTGCCTCTCTTGTAAGAAGCCAGGAAGCTGAAACAAAATCAGTATTTCATTCTCCATTATCTTAGGCCTGAAATTTTAAGAAGCAGGATCCCATGTGATTTACCAATTTGAGGGAATGAGAAAAGAATTTTGGCTATTGCATATGTAAATAGACCTGCCCAAATTCCTACTTCCTCACACTTCAATATGTGCTCTGCATTTCCTCAAACAATTGCAGCTACTGCTTTAACCAACTTGATCATACACAAATGAACTCTTGCACACATTTCCGGCTTTTAAAATATTGTCTTTTTCCTCCTCAGCCTTTCTTATCAGGAGCTCACTTTCTGAACCACAAAACAAATACTTTGAGTCACAATTTCTGAATTCTTCCAAGGATAGTACATAGCTAT